CTCATGGGTGCTGGCACCCAAAGTGCACATTCCTCCTCTACAGTCGCCCCGACTATCCCACTGTTTCACTGAGAGGACGGAATTCCTCTCTGCCTCTGGGTCCTTTATCTTGAACGCTGACCAAAGGCACCTCAGAGAGGGCCGCCCGCGCCCACCAGGTGTGTCTGTCTGCACCTGCTCCTGCCTCAGCACCAGCATTAACCCCCCAGAGGTGATCTCGTAGCTGCACTGGCCTCCGTGGGAACAGGGCATCACCACTCCGCCCTCTTCACTGTCATCTCACAGGCACCCACCCTCAGCACCCAGAACACCCAGACACTCTCCAAAGGACGTGAGCGCATCAGAGGGGACATGTGCACATCCTGTGGGGGTGTTAGGCATGCTGGGTTGATGGAAGTGCGGTGGAGAGGAGGGGGGAACTTGTGCACGCCTTGGTTTGCAACTGTTGCAGGCGTGGTGGTGACAGTGTGCTGGGGGATGTTCGCATGCCAGGGGGGGATGTGCACACCAGAGACCTCTGGCTTTGCAGATCCGCACACCCCCATGGTACGGCCAGGAGGATGTCAGTCTGGCCCGCCACGGTGGCTGTCCCTGCGATCCTGCACCTTCTGGGCCAGGAGGCGGATCTTGCACAGCCACTCCTGGGTGCTGATGGCCTGCAGGCGCTACTTCAGCTCAGCCTGCAGGCTCCGTTTGGCGCTCACAGCTGTTACCACTGCCATGTGGGGAGTACAGGCCGCCCTCCGCTGGCCTGCCTCCCCTGTCCAGAGGCTCTCTGTGCTGCTCACCTGCCCAGAGTACTGGGGCTGGGCGGAAGCCAGGCGTCCTGCCCTGCCCAACCCCAGCCGATCCGCCCCTGTGCGAGCTGTCGCCCCGCAGGGAAGGGTCACAGATCCAGGTCCCAGGACTGCGGACAGCCTCAAGCGCTGCCCCCTGCCCGGCAGGGTCACAGATCTGGGTCCTGGGACTGAAGACAGCCTCAAGCACTGCCCCCCACCCGCCAGGGTCACAGATTCGGATCCTGGGACAGCAGACAGCCTCAAGTGCTGCCGCCCTGCCCGCCAGGTCACGGATCCAGGTCCGGACCGTGGACAGCCTCAAGCACTGCCCACCGCCCGCCAGGTCATGGATCCGGGTCCCAGACCACAGACAGCCTCAAGCACTCCCCCCCCCGCCTGGCAGGGTCACAGATCCGGGTCCCGGACCGCGGACAGCCTTTCCCGCTGCTGCCTGCCTTCAGTATGCAAATTAGCCTCCATCTTGTTGCTTCAGGGTGGGGGTCCCCACTGGGGTGCCTGGCCAGTCTGGATGAGGGGATGAGGGCTGTTTTCAGGCTGGCGGGCAA